CATCTTCTCCTTCTCTCTGTATGATCGAACATCCATCGACCATTCATGGACGGCAACCCCAAGGTCGAGTCGGGCCTAGAGGGGGGTCAGCTTGACCTTGGCCCCACATATCGCTTTGGCTTCATCATCATCCTGGGTACGTCAGACATGGCCAGGGGCCCACCCCCCCCCTCCCCTCCTTTCCACTTTCATGCTGACCCCTCCAGCTGTCTGGGGCTGGGGCATCAACCTCCAGTACCTCGCGCAAGCCAAGATCGATGTGCCCTCCCTCATCAAATACCCCGCGAGAGCATCCCCGACGCAACCGGCACATCATCTGTCGACCTACCGCCTGGCCACCGTCCTCTCGGCCCTCTTCTCCTTTTCTATCACGATATTCTGGCTCTTCACCCGCCGTAACCCTGAACTCGTTATTCAATATGACTGGATGCCCATGACATTCCTCGTGGCCACGGTCGGCGTCTTCTTCTTCCCCTTGCGGACCTTTACCCACCATGGCCGCACTCGCTTTCTCCAGACCTTGCGCCGCGTCAGCATTGGCGGCATCGCCCAGGCGCAGGACGGCAAATTTGGCGACATTCTCCTGGCCGATGCCCTGACCAGCTACGCCAAGGTTCTCGCAGACCTTTACGTCACCCTCTGCATGTTCTTCACCGCCAACGGTGCCTCCACGGCCCGCCCCGATCGCGGCTGCGGCGGCGCCGTCATGGTGCCCCTCATCATGGCCGTTCCGAGCGCCATTCGACTGCGCCAGTGCCTGACCGAGTACTTTCGCGTCCGCCGCGCCCCCTACAAGGAATCCACCGGCTGGGGCGGCCAGCACCTGGCCAACGCCGCCAAGTACTCGACCGCATTCCCCGTCATCATCCTGAGCGCCATACAGCGCAGCCTGCCTGCCGACCAGCCCAGGCCGGGCCTCAACCGCGCCTGGCTCGCCGCCGTTCTGCTCAACTCGCTCTACTCGTTCTACTGGGACGTCACCAAGGATTGGGACCTCACCCTCTTCGCCCCGGCCGCGAGCGCAGCGCCCCCGACCACTTTTGCCCTGCGGCGCCGCCTGCTCTTCTACCCCCCGCTCGTCTACTACCTCGTCATGGGCCTCGACCTCATGCTGCGGTGCACCTGGGCCCTCAAGCTGAGCCCTCACCTTGACCGCCTGACGGATTTCGAAAGCTCCATCTTCCTCATTCAGTTCCTCGAGGTCTTCCGCCGCTGGGTGTGGATCTTCTTCCGCGTCGAGACGGAGTGGATCAGGAATTCGCCGACCGGCCTTGGCGTGGATGACATCCTGCTCGG